AGAGAGAGAGAGAGAGAGAGAGAGAGAGAGAGAGAGAGAGAGAATAATTTTAAGCATGATTTAGTGGTGGTGGTAGAGGCCGGGCGACACTAATGCCATGTCCAACACCATTGCACTTATCATTTAATATATCAATAGATAAAAACAACCCAATTATGTATTACTAGTGTCGCCGATAATAATTTATTATTAATAAAAGGTTTGCTTCCCAATGAAAATCGTATGATTTATTTGCTATATTCACGAAAAAATATACTGTAATTATAATTAATTATTCGTGAAATATGCGCTCAATTTGTTTGTTTTACTATATTTTCTAAATACATGATAAATGTTGTTGTTTTTTGATATTAAAAATTATACGTCAAACGATTGGTTATGCAATTAGTAAACAAACATTTTCTGATATCAATTTAAAAATTAGTAAAATTTAAAATTTTGTTAAAACAATTTATAATCATTATTATTGATGATATTTTAAGTGGAGAATTAATGTTATTTTTTAAAACCAATAACTTTTATATTTTTGTTTTAGGACTATATTTGATATTAATGTTAAATAGATTTACATAAGTTAGTTGCTTGGTCCAAAGATATTGTGTATTAAATTTTTTATTCTGGTTATAATTTAATTGAGGTAACCATAAAACAAAACAATAAATTAAAAATACACAAATAACTTTGACGTACACTTAGATTTCATGTTAATTATGATTGATTGATTGATTGATTGATTGATTGAGAGAGAGAGAGAGAGAGAGAGAGAGAGAGAGAGAATATTAAAACATACAGAATATGATTATTTATATTTGAATATTTTCTGTGACTCAATATTAATATTATATAAGTATATATTAATACTTATGACATGACTGCCTATCTATTCCTCATGGGTTAACATACAGTTACAAGACATCAGTTCAATGATATGCTGCGGAAGAGGCAGAAGCCCTGCCAACCGGTGCTCTAATGAAGTCATATCTCAGACACAGATCACAATCACTCAAAGGAGATCCGTTCAGGACATACCATCTCAGCTCAACTGTTCATCTCTTATGTAAATCACAGAAATGTTATCATATATTATATAATAATAAATATATATTTCCTATTCATAAGAGTCTTATATGTTATATAAATATATGAATTTCTAAAGAATATTCTGAGAGGTTTTGCTTTAAGCTGAAGAGTTTGGTTGAGAGCTATCGGAATCGATGAGCGATAATGTATGACAAATGTTATACACGTGTTAATACTTGAGACTCTCAAGTATCAGGAATGTTCTACCAGTAATAATTATCTTGATGAATTATTATATCGATATATAAGATATACAGTATTGTAATTAATTAATTATTATGTTTGTAATAATTATTATTCTTATGTCGACTGGTTTGTTATGTGAAGTAATTAAAATTTGGTAACAATCATTGTAATAACTAACCAAGCTATAAATATCATTGTGTAAAATCACCCCGAAACTATGAATTAAATTTTTATAATCCAATTGTTAGTAAGTATTAGATTTAAAATAGACTTTCGCTATTAATTATAGCCTATAATAATGGGTGCGCACAACAAACTTAAAATAAATTTGTACACTATATGTGAAATTATCACTATTTGTATGATTAACTGTTAATTAACTGTTAATGAATAGAAAATACGGTAGAATTGTGTAAATTTGTAATGAATTTTTGTATACAATATGTAGAGAGAGATTATTTAATAGTATAAAGAAAGAATATTGTATTCCATAATTAAATTATTTTCTGTAATCATTAATTAATACTGTACTCACTAATTAATATATAAATAATATCTTGATAAGATAACTTGTTATTAATAAGTATTATATTACTACTGTACATTATATTTGTTTATACAGTATATTTATTGTTGTATTATTTAAATAACCTATAAATTAAAAGATATTGACACATTTTAAACAAATACAGTATAGTTTAGTAAAAATTCAATAAAATATACATAATTAACACAACGTTTAGTTGTAATAAATGAATTAATATCCCATTAATTGTTATATGAATTACTATTCTGTATGTAATTAACGCGTTTGTTATCATAAATATACTTAATATGAATAATAAATATATTTTCCAATTAAAAACAAATAATTGCAATCATTATAATTAGTTTTTGCTAAACAAGGAAATAGTTAATGAGCGCCGGGAGGACAATCCCATTGGACATAATGCACACCATTGGGAACCCGTATGTTATAGATCTGACAATACCATTACGACTGTCCGTCCGGTCGTTATTTGGACACAAATATTACGAATAAAGACCTCGAAGAATATGAAGAGAGGAAAGAGTTATGTTTTGATGGATTTGCAAATTACTTTATATGATTGATAAACTCATACAACTCGACATCACTCGACGGCACACAACCTTCCGGTTCTTCATATATATGTATTTCGTGACCAATTTGTTGAGAGAGAGAGAGAGAGAGAGAGAGAGAGAATATTAAAACATACAGAATATGATTATTTATATTTGAATATTTTCTGTGACTCAATATTAATATTATATAAGTATATATTAATACTTATGACATGACTGNAGAGAGAGAGAGAGAGAGAGAGAGAGAGAGAGAGAGAGAGAGTTTGATTATATTGAGCTAAAAACTGATTAATATAATTGTGTTTTGTTTTTTTAAAACCATGTTTAATTTTATTAAAACAATTAATTTCATTATAATTTAATTGATTAAAATTTACAGATGCACTTTATTTTAATTAATAATTCACGCTATAATTAACTTAATTATTAACTATAATTTAAATACATAAGTTATGTAACATAACTGAAAAATAATAAATAATTATTTTAAGTAATTAACAGTTATATTAATAATTCAAGACAGCTATTCATATGACAGATATCATACAAATGAACATAACTTTTAACTTAATTAAACTAACAATAATTGTGTTAAATGTGTTGACCAATTGCGGTGACAACAACAGTGTCTTCGGCGACCGCATAGCCATCGAGTCGTGTATAGGACTGTCCCAACTGTCGGCCAAATACATCAACTGTATAGCGAGTGTACGGCATGTCTGGAGAACCAATGGCCACACGGGATCACCCGTGGGCTCAGTCGCCGACCCGGAGGACGACAAGACCTACTGTTGCCGTACGTGGGATCTGAACGACTGTTCGCTGGACTCGATCCGCGAGGTCTGCACCGACGATGAGTACCGCCGGGTGTCCGGCATATACAAGAACATGAACCGCGAGATCGAGTACCGCAACTGTTCCCACTATGAGTACCATTCATGGAGCTGTCATTTCCCCGTCTGGTTCTCAGCCACTATTGTTTTAGCCATACTCTTCGTCACATCCATCACTGTTTACCTACTCATCCACTATTGTGTCCCATCGAGTGATAAGTTTTAGTTACAATTAATTTTTGCGAAACATTTAATTAATTTGTAATTTTATAGACGTTTTAAATAAATTGTATGTTTTCTCAATCATTTGACGCCTGTTTTATAAGTGCTTTATTTTAAGTTTATTAGTATTTTATGAATGAGAAATACAGTGAAGTATATATATATAGTGTACAAAACAAGCGATTTTGTTCACTATAACGGGGTTTTAATGTACAGTAAGTTTGAATTGTGTGCCAAAACTTTGACAATCAAATCAAAACTAATGGCAATAATATGTGTTGCCATCTGTCGCTCGCGTTTAAACCATATTATATGTCCACAAATAACGTATCACATGATAAATGGGTGTGGAGTTAGGGGTTCGTGAGGTCGGCAATGCATTGATGCTTAGATATAATAAGGTTTTTTAGATAAGGGGTGATAACAAACGTAACGTTATTTATGAATGAGTGCTTTGATTTGAAAACTCATTGCAAAAACTCAATAACAAAAACGTCGAGTCATTTGCCGTTCAAAACCATTGACTGCTTTTTGTATTACATTTTTTTAAAGACTTGTATTTCATCTGTTAGTTCACCGCCGAAGAAGACAATGTTTGACACCGCGTACGACAGCCGCCCAGTTGTGGATCCACTCACTGGCCATCAGTTCCAGCCGTACGCCGACAACGGAGGGTATGTTTTGCCGATGTTTTTGCCATTATTTGCAGTCAACTAATAATTGTTTCTCTCTTTGCATCACCGGATCCGTTCGGTGATGTCACGCCTCACTCCCGATGGTATATAACAGCACTGTTGTCGGTCTGGCGGGCAATGACTTCGCAATGTTGGCCTCCGATACCCGTCTGTCGTCCGGGTATTCAATCTATACCAGAGATCAGACAAAGCTCTTCAAATTGTATGTCTTTTGATCACTTATCTGATCCATTGATGACTAATTGTCTTGTAATAGGACTGACGCGTGTTTGTTGGGCTCAACCGGTTGTTGGTGTGATATATTGACGTTCAGGAAGATTATTGAGGCCCGACTCACGGTATGTGTTGACCACTCATTGCATCACTTTCTAATCACCTCATTATCGCTCTCTTCGGCGGATCAGATGTACAGTCAGGACCACAACCGGACGATCACCACTCCGGCCATCGCTCAGCTGTTGTCCAACATGTTGTACAACAAGAGATTCTTTCCGTATTACATCTCTCATTATCGCTCTCTTCGGCGGATCAGATGTACAGTCAGGACCACAACCGGACGATCACCACTCCGGCCATCGCTCAGCTGTTGTCCAACATGTTGTACAACAAGAGATTCTTTCCGTATTACATCTCTAACGTGATCGCAGGTCTGGACACCGACGGCAAGGGTTGTCTCTATTCGTACGATCCGGTCGGCCATTGCGAGCGCGAGTACTATCACGCGGGCGGCTCTTCAGCGGCGCTGATTCAGCCATTACTGGACAGTCAGGTGGGCCTCAAGAACCAGAGGGCGGCCGTCATGAAGGATCTCACCGTCGAATCCGCCAAGAAGTTGATTAAAGATGTCTTCATATCGGCGACCGAACGCGACATCTATTGCGGCGATTCTGTGGACATACAGATCATCACCAAAGATGGCGTCCAATCGGAGACAATGCTTTTGAGACGCGATTGAGTGATGAGATGTTTGGTTGAGTTTTTTGTGTCCATTTCTTTGAGAGAATTATCTTTTGGTTTATAAAAAACTATTCATTTTTTAATTATTATCTATTTTTGATCGAAGTTTGCGTTTCTCTCTTGTATTTCATTAATGAAAATGTTTTTTAAATAAAATTAATTATAAATTACTTATAAATTGTGTTGTTTTGTAATTAAATTGTAGTTTTTTTAGTTTAAATAGTTTTACACAAAACGTATAGCGATTTATAGATTCAGTAAATAGTTATTTATAGTTTTAATTTAGACAAAAATTAGTTAGAAATGTGATTTAATTAATTGACAATTAATTTAGTTAATAAAATAGTGTCCGAAAAGTTATAATACAGTAATAAAAAGAGTTAAAACTAAATGAAAATAAAGTTTTTGTTACAAAACTGATAGCAAATAATGGATTGAAATGCTGTACAAAAGTAGTCATTATTAGTCTCTATCAGAGAAACAGTAAATAAGTTTTGAAATGATTTCAAAAACTTATTTCTCAACGGTTTTCACACTTTTCACAAATCACTTGATTTTGTGGTCATTTTTGTCACACTTTTTGTCTTCAAAATGTCTTTGAATAGCGAATCAAAGTCCGGATCAGTTGTCGACGACTCAAACACTTCCCGAAGAAGTCATGTCATGAATGACGACGTCTTGGGATTGACTGATTGTGTCGAAACTGCTCTCCAGAAGAAGACTATTGGTCTCAGCATTGGTTTCGATGGTTATATGAATGACACAACAGATCATCAGTTTGTCGGCGAAGACATGAGTGAAGCGTTTGTCCGCAAAGACAACAACACATTTGATTTGATTGAAAGCCGACAGACAGTGGACTCAATGCTGAAGAAGTGGCCAAACATTAAGTCATTGTTTTTGCGAAACGTTTGCATCGATTGCCAGACTATGGAAGTGATTGTCAATCGCTGTCCACATCTCGAAGATCTCTATTTGGTTTGCGTTGAGATTCAGTGGTCAGAGGAGAGGACTGTCGACGAGTGGACACAACTGTTGTCTCACATCAAACACATCACTCTTGAGGGCAGTTATGGCGATAGTCTTCAGTGGTTGAGCCGCTTGTCGTCACTCGAGTCCATGGATTTCGTGGATTTCAATGACGGAACCGATCGAGTGATGGATTGTTTGCCACCGAATATCCGTCGCCTTCACGTCTCAGACCACTATTTGTCGGCCGTTTCGATGATATCTCTCAACACAAAGTGTCCACAACTGGAAGAGCTGTCACTCATTGAAGACAACGACCAGATTGTCGACGCTATCGCCGATTGGGATCAGTTGTTGACAATGATTTGCGAATCATTCAAACTGAAGACATTTCGCATTCAATTCAATCAATTGTCGGGTGAAGTGTTGGCCCAAAACATCGCAAAACTCACTGAATTAAGACATCTGTCCATCAGTTGTTGCATTGAATTCAATGTCAATTCAATGGAAACGATGCCGCGATTGGAGTCATTGAGCGTACGGTACGTGAGATGTCAGCCAGAGATGTGGTCGCAAATTGGGACACGATTTCCCGCTCTGAGACACGTGACAATCGGCCACTTAGAGATGGATCTGCCGCCGGACTGCCAGTGCGATGTGGTTATGAAAGGTCGTGATTGTGTCCGCTGTAGACAACAAATGTACGATTGTCTCAAACCTGTGTCACAGTTACCGCACCTCAAGAGCCTATACCTCGATGTGAATCCGGCGCTCATTACCTGCAAACACCTCATTCTGTTTGCTGAGCTCCGAGTCCTGCGAGTCATGCGATGGTTGGATATGTTGGCGCTGACCGTCTATTGTGTCCACGCGATGGGCCGTCGGGTGTCCCGCAAGACACTGAGGCTCGAGTTGTTGCCGCGCGTTCGCCAAGCGCTGGTCGATAGTCTCGCGGCCCGGGATGTGCCGATTCCGGCCACCGTTCGCCTCATCGACATATCGCCCGAAGTGATGGTACGGGTGTGTAGACAGCAATCGATGACCGCCGACCAGTTGGACACTATCGCCGCGGGTCTACGCCATGGCCTCCAAGAGTTGTCAGGTATACGGGAAGTGGCCGCTCATGTCTCGTCCCTATTGGCTGCCGATCCGCTCGAGTTTTGGATTCACGGCTGTTCGCCGTCACCATTGGTTAACTTCAGCGTCGGTTTTGGTGGTACTCTTGTCCGGGAAGTGGCCATTAGGGCCGACGACCTATTCTTCCGGTTCCAATTGTACCAACTATTCCAACTATAGACTCTCTCTCTCTCTCTCTCTCTCTCTCTCTATCTCTCTCTCTCGCAATTCATTGAACTTAATTGTATTTTAAGACTTGATTTTGATTTTTAAAATTGTTTTTTCGATTACTTTTTATTGATTAACATTTGATTAACATTTTTTAACTCAATTTTTATTGTATTACAAATACATTACGAATAGAAAGCTAATGAAAGACATTATAATAGTCTTAAGCATTGAATTAATTAATAATTATATATAAAATACATTCAATAGTAGTGTTTGGCGTAAATTGTTTTGTATTAATTATTAACAGAAAAATAAACATAAAATCATTTAAAAACTTAAAATTGTATTTAAAAAACAATTTGATTTAAAGACAAATTCAAACTAAAAATTAATCATTTGATGAATGGCTATGAAGTGGCCGAAGAAGTGATGATTGGGATGCGATGGCAATGAGAAGATGGGATCAAAAGCGGGACTTAGAAGTCGGCGTCGACGACAAACTTGTGGTTCTCTTCGGTTCCCATAACTCCGCTCTTCTGATACTCTCCGACGCGCTTCTCGAAGAAGTTTGTCTTCCCTTCCAATGAGATCTGTTCCATGAAATCAAACGGATTCACAGACTTGTAGTACTGGTGGACAACAAAAACAATGACAATTAGACATTCATTCAATTCAAAAACTCGGGACCAATACATGCGGACCCGAAGTGTGTCCTCACCTTTTGGACGCCGAGTTCAGCGAGAAGTCTGTCCGCGCAGTACTCGATGTATTGCCTCATGAGTTCGCAATTCATGCCAATCAGGGCAACGGGGAGGGCATCGGTCAGGAACTCCTGTTCAATAGCGACGGCCTCTTTCACTATCTGTAAGACCTTCTCTTCGTATGGTTTGTCGACGATATGGCGGAACAGAAGGCACGCGAAGTCGCAGTGCAGGCCCTCGTCTCTGACACGACCTGCGGTTGTCTTCTTGGGATCAGTGCTGTCACCGCCGACGACCGCCGCTGCGACCGACTTGTGTTGGGCCGCCGTTTGGGACCCGTTTTGACTCAATACTAGCGTCGGGCTCATTGTCTCCGATTGGACGCCATCTTTGGTGATGATCTGTATGTCCACAGAATCGCCGCAATAGATATCGCGTTCGGTCGCCGATATGAAGACATCTTTAATCAACTTCTTGGCGGACTCGACGGTCAGATCCTTCATGACGGCCGCCCTCTGGTTCTTGAGGCCCACCTGACTGTCCAGTAGGGGCTGAATCAGCGCCGCTGAAGAGCCGCCCGCGTGATAGTACTCGCGCTCGCAATGGCCGACCGGATCGTACGAATAGAGACAACCCTTGCCGTCGGTGTCCAGACCTGCGATCACGTTAGAGATGTTGATGTAATACGGAAAGAATCTCTTGTTGTACAACATGTTGGACAACAGCTGAGCGATGGCCGGAGTGGTGATCGTCCGGTTGTGGTCCTGACTGTACATCTGATCCGCCGAAGAGAGCGATAATGAGTTGAATGGAGAAAGAGATGCAATGAGTGGTCAACACATACCGTGAGTCGGGCCTCAATAATCTTCCTGAACGTCAATATATCACACCAACAACCGGTTGAGCCCAACAGCTGAGCCCTAGGCTTTGTTGACCGCGTGGATGCGGCGGAAGGCGCGGTCGGGTCTCCGGGAGACCGCCGGCCGCGAGTGGGCGTCCCTGAGCTGTGGGGTGGGCTCCGGGGGGCGCGGGTGGGGGGCGGGGGAGGCAGCGATGCGGTGGGGGCACTATTGCGGCTCATAATAGGGTCATTAATGGTGTCCCTTCGCATGGCGACCACGTGGATGTGGAACACCCCCTGCTCCCAGTGGGCGTACCCCAGACACACCCCCGCAACCCCCCCGAAAGTGCTGGCCGTGAAGGACACAATAGTGACCAAAAAGTGGTCGGGATTTATGGCCGCCATTTCCCCGGCGATGAGGAAAGTGAGGTCACGGGCCGTGTAGTTGACGGTTGTGTTGGGCGGCAGGTATTTCGCGACCTCCAGTCTCATCGCTTCCGTCTTCGCGGTCCCGAAGAATATCTCTCCGGGAGGGATGTGTGGATACCGGCGGTCGTGGATCAGCTCGTATGCCATGTGTTGTTTGGTTTGGTTTTGGACACAAATAACACAATGGTCAATTCACAAATACTGTGACAATAATTACAGGGAGTATAATACCAAACGATTTTCAATACAATACCAATTGCTGTCAAACTGTAAAGGGTTTCATAAATAATCACAAAATGTCACGTAATGTGTGAACAGTACCGCTGTTTTTGGCCAATGTTTTGATCAATTGATTGTTTGATTGATTTTTGTGGCGAAAAACCATTTGAACCGCACTTTAAGGCCAATCGCAGCGACACTTATCCGTCAGCGCCGGTCAGTCCTCGTGTTGTGCCTCAATAACACCGACCACTCAAGACATCTGATCCAATCATCGGATCATCCAATGGACGACTACTTCCGTCGGTCGTGTCCGTGGCGTGTAGTGGACGAGTGTGGGGTCGGGTATATGCTAGGAGTGGTCGGCGGGACTGTCTATCACGGGGTGCGGGGCTGGAGGTCGTCGGCCGAGGGTCTGGAGCGGCGGTCGTCGAGCGCGTGGTTTCTGGTCAGACGTCGAGTGCCGAAAATGGGCGGCAGTTTCGCCGCCGGCGGAGCAATGGTTAGCGCTATTGACTGCTCTCTGGCGGCCATTCGCCAGACGGACGACCCCTGGAATAACATTATGGCCGGCGCTCTCACCGGCGCTCTCGCCGTATATCGCATTTGGCGTGTATTACAGGTGTTGTTGACATTGGCTTTACATTTGGTGTCTGTTATTGTGATTACAATTGAATTGTATTTCATTTAAATTGATTCACAAAACACATCGTTAAACACATTATGGTATTTATAATAAGCGTATAATTTATAACATTTATAATCTCATTGTCTGTTTGTCTGTATCTGAAGGCCAACTACAGCGAGGATCAGATAATGGGTGAGTGAATAGTGAACGCGATGGCCGCCGATGTTGTCCTACTCATGAGTGGATCAATTGATTTGCCGCCGAAGATGTCGGGCATTATCTTAATTATAGTTTACACGAATACAGTCTACGCTCGTTATCAATACGTGTCACAAATATACTAAATGTGGTGTTCATTAAACCCGTGTATATCCTGTCCATTGAAACCCGCCGTTAGATTAATCCATCCGTACATATGGTGTACACTATAACGGGTTATACACTATTGATAACAGTGTAGTCGCTGTTTGTATTCACTATTAAGCAAACTGTTGTACACTATTGGCGGCACTCAATGACAGCCACACTCTTGAGTTTGGGATCAATTGTTTGAACACATGTTTTACATTATATTCTCATTGAAAAACTGCTAATCACTTAACCATACATTTGAATGATTACAAGATTACCACTAATTATCTCATATCTTATATCTATTGCTTTATTGGATGCCATTCTTCTGGATGTGATGTAGAATTTCAAGAGGCGTTCTCTCTGTTCGACAACAGAGGCGACGGCAAGATCTCAGTCTCGCAGTTGGGAGACGTGTTGCGGGCGTTGGGACAGAACCCCACAGAAGGAGAGGTGAAGAAGTGCTCCAATCAGTTGAAACCCGGTTTGTGTGTCCATCACCTCAACTGATCCCAAACTGTGTGAACACACAGTTTACTAATGTCTTGACTTATGTATTGAACAGATGAAAGAATCGGTTTCGAAGTGTTTCTACCGATACTGCAGACCATATCGAAGAACAGGTCCACCGATACGGCCGAAGACTTCATCGAAGGTCTGCGCCATTTCGACAAAGACGGCTCCGGGTATATCAGTTCCGCCGAATTGCGACACCTGTTGACCACTTTGGGCGAGAAGTTGACCGACGATGAAGAACCCCCTCCACCGCCGCCTCCCTCTCCAGTACTGCCAATACTTAATACAAAATAGTTTTAAAACATTTGTTACCGTTTTTTGCATGAATTGAGACGAATATTGTTTTACATTAATGTAAATACTGTTGTATTTGTGTTTTTATTTATTGAATTGTAAATTATATAACATTTTAAAGTTTTTAGTCTATATATCGTATATTTTATTGGAGTTTTAATTGAAACAACATTTTAAATGACATTAAATACTGTATAAAAAGTTTATTTAATAAATAAATATAAAAAAATCTATAACTCATAATAAATTTTTAAGTGTCTGAGACACAAGCCAATAGAGATCAAAATCCACTATGATTCAAATATGATTGGCAAATTTGAAAAATTAAGCCAGCTCATTTGATGACCTTCTCATTAACAAAACCGGACAGTTTTCCTGCATATAAGGGATTGTCATTATACATTATTGTTTGTTGTCTATACAAACAATAATATTTTTTACTAAACATTTAAAACTCATCTAAATCTAAGGCTGTTAATGTCATATACAGTGAAACATGAGTTGTGTGAACTAAGCATTTGTATGAATTAAATGGCCAAATTTACCAAGTTCACTCAGTTCATGTTTTACTGTAATATTATGATACTTTACTTAACGTGGTAAATCGCATGACAGGTAAAGTGTTACATAAAAATTTTATTAGAATTATTAGAAGTTGCAGCGTTATTTCCCCACTAATAGAACATTGAAAATTTCATTTAATTCTATGTTATACTTACATTACGTCATGTGACGTCATATGAAATCACAAAAAATCAATATTACGCAAAATATATAAATATAACTGAATATAGGTGAATATCTAAATTGTGGCAGTTTGTAATTTTGACCACAATTCATTTATAAAAAATATGATTTATATGAGCGTTATGCGACCTCCCCGACCTTACGACAAATTTAGATAAGTTGACAGCTTAATCCTATAGCTATATTTTACCATTGGGCTCTTCCCATAGATTAACATTAATAATGCTAAAGACATAGTTAATGCAATGTCTAATCCTATGGATAAAGCAAATTATATAAATTTTGTAATTGCATTTTTTAAACAGGTATTTGTGAACAGATTTTAGTTTTAAGGCATTATCCGTTTTGTGGTTAAAGCGTTATTGCCTTACAAATGTTTTTTGTTTATAATAAAATATTTTTCTTTATAATATTTAATATAAAGTTAACATTTTGGAGTGCGTTATATTCGAGTCATACTGTATTAACCTTGAATTAAAACTTTTAGTAAACACTCCTCATAAAAAGCTCTGGCGACTTAAGGGATAAAAGAAAAATTAAATGATTATAATATAAAATATACTTAAAATTTAAATAAAATGGGATTTCGTAAATAAATGATGTAAATTTTTGTGAACTATTTAAGTAAAATAAGTTGAGTTTTTTGAGTTATTATTGCATTTCATTTTTAGTTAATTATGAAATTTTATTAAAAGTAATTATTTTAATATTTCAGACAATAATGACATTAATTTTGTACTATATTTGCGTTTTGAATAGCGATTAATATTGATATTTAATGTGAAATACAGACAAAACACGTCTCATTCACTCTAAATAATAGTAAACAAGTAATTAATTATGAGATTAAACCAATTCATTCACAATTGTACCGTATATTGCAATAGTATTTGCAATCGTGTGCTTATAGTATAACCAATATTTATGACAATAATTAAAGTAATTAATTGAAAACAAAAGTTATCAAAAACTTTTTTTTGAGGCCTTTTATCAAACTGTAGTTCAAAGCAATTTTGGGTATTATTGAACTGGCATTGAAAGTACACCCGAGGACATTATGAACGTAATAAATAGTGACAGCAAAATCAATCACTAATTAGAGCCTGGTTCACATTTTTAAATTAAACTAGTCAATTGCCCGTGGTCACTTTGACAAATGGCCAAATATATTTATAAATTGTTCAATTGAGCTCTCTCTCTCTCTCTCTCTCTCTCTCTCTCTCTCTCTCTCTCTC